TCTTAACCCACAACACCAGGTTTTGTCCCTGGGACATGTCCCTGGCTCCATCCTGGCTCTGTTCCAATGTGCTCTGGGCCCTCCCTGACTGGGGCACAGCACAGGGCACTCACCAGGGCAGTAAAATTGACCTCCAAATTACTGAAACACCGCAAAGAAAAAACAAAAAAGCCTGAATATGTGCTCAAATTAAACTGTTCCCAAAGGGTCATGGATGGTTTTCTCTAAGGACAGCACAGAACAAGCAGAGACGAGGCCGTGCCTGTGAGGGCTGGGACTGCAGCAAGGCTCCAGGCCCTGTTTCACACCTTCGTCTGACAAACTTTCCTAGTGGAAGGAAAACATCAATATTCAAAATAAACACCTGAAAAGCTCTGTAGAACAGTTATGGTGAAGGGTCCCTCGATAACATCAGCTGGGCTGCTCCTGATGAAGGATTTATCCTCCAACAGAACCCCTTTCTCCATTTTCCCTCCCAAAGCAGCAGAGTGGTGATCATTTTAGCTGCTTCAGAAGGCCAGACTGCCCTCAAAACGGAACACCACGTGCTCTTAATCCTTTGCATTGTTTGGCACTTGAGCAGAAACCTGACAAGCAGCAGATCCCTCGCTCCAAAAGGCCGTGCACCTCAGTTACACAAGATCCCCCCAGGGGGCAAAGCCTCCATTAACCAACTCCAGCAGCAGCATGGCTTCAGCATTTCCAGTAACACGAGAGGTTGGATCATTCACTAACCCAGGAAGAAAACTTAAAAGCCTACAGGAAGTTGTGCCTAATTGGCTTCAGTTTATAAATTTTCACTCAGCATCTAAATATTTGATATTAAAGACAGAGAAACCAGCACTGATGGGGGCTGCTGGGGCACGCAAAACATCCGAGCATTCACCAGTGTGGCTGTGAGCTCTTGTTCACAGAACAATGTCTGGCAATAACGATCCAACCCCAAAGAAAAGGCTCTGCAGGAAAGTTATTTCCCATCTCCCAAAGGCTGTGTGATTTATATGTGTTGTCACTGCCTGGGCCAGAAAAGTGATGACTGATTACCACATTTCCATTTCAGGATCAGGTATCCAGCCTGGATTAACTAGATCAGGCCACGTGGAATTTATTTACCATTTACAGCCCAACTGAGTATAACAYTGGGTTTCAGTCAATAAGAACTTCTAAATGGAACCCAGTAATGACTAGAACATGTTAAAGCCCCTTGAATTAAATGCTTATWATTTATCATTATTACTCAATTTATTGCACAAACACCTAGACTCCATGACCATAAACTGACAGAATATGTTAGYGGGGAAGAACAAAAATAAATATATAAATAAATCTAGTTCACTAAACATTTGCAAAGCACTCATCCTCATCCATTCCCAGCTCCCAGAGGACAGGTATTCAACCTTTCCCTTGTGTTTTTGGCTGGGGGTTGATTTARAAGCATCTCAGTTCTGCAGCTCCTATGAGGCATGTAAGGATCCCCTCTCCATCTCTGGACATAATGGTAAATAAAAATGATAAATAATAAGCTCTATTTATCAGTATGATAAAATGAGTAGGTATCTATTTATCATATAACTTTATTTATATCACTACTCTGAGTGCCACTGAAGTACTGCATCAAAAATTGTTACTGCAAGGCATGGGATTCTCATAAATACTGTCCACTTGCACAAAATCCACAGAAAGATGCAGTCACCCCTGGATTCACATTTAACTGTGCAAGGACCTGCATCCCTCGTTCTGCTCTGTGACAATGAACAAGTTCAGCATTCAGCAGACCCACACATGGATCCTCGGCAAGGCAAAAAGGGAGCCTGAACGACCCAAAGATCAACGTGCAAAAACCTTTGGCATTGCAGTGCTAAAGCAGACTTGCTGCTTTGCTTTTCCTTTTCTCTAGACAGCAGCAAGAAAAAGGTGAGTGAAGAGTTCAAGTAGCTCTGGGTGAGTTTGTGAGCCAGAGAAACAAAACACAACAGGAACATTTTGGACTAAAGAATAAAGAAACGGAGTAGTCATCAGTGTAACGAAGAAAAAAACCCAAAACTCTGGAGGTTATCTACTCAGTAAGCATCTATTCTGCTCCTTTCCCCTTGTGCAAGAGCAGAAATGTTTTTTCCACCAGCCAGCCAGSCAGCCAGCCATCATCCCTCCTCTCCTCCTCCTGGAGGCCACAAGCACAGAGAAAAGAACCATTCTAAAGGCACTGCAGGATGACCACCTCSTGTAAATATCTCACTGCTGTCACTTGGGATGCTCTGGAATTGCACTCGTGTCAGCATTCCCCTACCCYGAACTTAAACAGGCACATGGCTCAGTTCAGAGCCTGCAGAACATTTCCACACAACAAAACACTTCCGAGCGTGAAGCAAACAACAGAATTCTGTTCATTATTCTGTGATATTTGGTGTAACAACCTCTATTTATTGCCTGCAAATGTGSTCATTGCAGCGACTCTGAAAAAGGGAACCAAGGAGGCTGTACAGTATCAAAGGTGATTTTTTAAACATGACAGGTTCCATGAGGTTTAAGGGCTTTTTGCAATGTTGGCTCACATGTAACAACAGGAACGAACAGACTGCAGTTTCTGCTTGAATATTTCTTGTTCAGGAGTCTGTTTTTGTAGCAGAAAACAAATATTCTCCATCAACTGCACTGGCAGCTTTATCTCTCTGTAATAAACAGGCAAGACATATTACACTGACCCAGCACCCAAAGGCCAGTGCAAGGACAACACGCACAACAGATACTCAGTTTTAGGGTTTATTTCATCTGCTAACATTCATCCTTGATCTAGACAAAAACAATTAGATGATGTTTAAAAATTATCTTTTTTTTTTGTGGAAGAAAAGAAAAAAACCTTTTAACACTTTTTGTAAGATGCTATAAATAAATATATAAAGCTTTAAGTGTTACTTGGCTCAAGTTAAACAGTTGCCTTTCATTTTTTGTTGTTTTTCCTGAAGTGGGGGGGAAAGTGCAAACCATACACATTCAGCCCAATGGAATGAGTCCAGCCACAATCACTTTCAGAGAAGCTGAATCTGTCTGATCTACAGCAAGGAGGATGGGAGGCAGGTGGGGGGACAGTTGTATTTTTTTACCCTCTCTCACACAACTCCTAGAGGAACTGAGTTTCTTGGGAAGTAAAGCACACAAGGGGAGAGGAAGAAAAAGAAAATCCTGCCTGCATTGCCCTTCCCCTGCTCTGTGCAGACTGTGCAGCAGAGAGGAAAGGAGAGACAATATAAGCAAAGCCTCAGATGAAKAGAAATGACAATGGAAACCAAAATCAGAGAGCAGCAGGGATGGTGAGAAATCCCGCGCCTGGTGCGTGTTTGACTGKCAGACTACACATAAACACACAGGAACTTCACACTGAGAGAGGATGGGGGTCTTTGTCTTCTCCTTATGGAATAAAAGATTAAAAGGGGCAATAAAAATAAGTTAAATCATATTCCAATATGTACAAAACAAATCATGCTCAGTAAACCTTTTGAATATAAAATTATTCATTATAGTACAACTCTCTCAATCCAGTCTCCAGAGCTGACACCTGRGGGGAGACAGGGAGGGGGATTGCGGGGCTCTGAGGAGACAGACGCATCTGCAAATCTTGTTTTTTTCAGTTTGCATGGCTAAGAATGACAGACACAACTCCCTGAAGCTGGGACAGCACAGGTTTCAACATCCATGTGCTCATCAGGGCTGCATCCACTATGGCAGAACTGCAGTGGATGGGGCAGAACAAAGAGGCACCGAGAGCTGGGATGGAGTGTGAGCTGCAGTCACTGACCATGGCCATGAAGGGCTGGCCACTGGCCACTCTCCTGGGGCTCACCTGGGCCCCTGGACATGATCTGCCAATGTTAAAGTGAGAACGAGAGCAGAACACAGCCAGCCTTGGTTTGAATTGTGCCAGTGCCATGGCAATCCACAGCCCTGGGAACACAGCCTGAATATYGTTTGGGTGAGGAATTCCTGTGGGACTCTTTGTGATGACTGGAAAAGTCCATGGGATAGGAGGGGATCTGGGTAATTTTAAACACCAGTTAAGACACCAGAGATGCTTTTAACCCCAAGACGTGAACCTCAGTCAGCCCCTGTGCTGTGTTGTGCTCTGATCACCCCCTTCTCCAGCTGTCCAGATTTTCAGAGTGAAAAAGTCCCCAGAGTCTATACTCCCCTGTGGATTCCTCCTGCCTCGGTCCTGCTCTCAGCAGCTGCTCTGCTCTTCTCTGCTCCAACAGGACAGCCCTGTGAGAGAGGATTCAAAACCTTACTGGGACATTTCTCATGCTGCTCTCATTGTTACCCCAGTTCTGTGAGCAAGTAAGGGACTACGGGGTGCAGAAACATCAACTGAAGTGTTCCTCATTTATTTCAAAATGCTGGGCATAAGGGGAGAAATTCAGACAAGCCAGAAATTCACACYGATCCTTTGCTTTTTGTGGTTATGACTTTGAATCCCGTGACAGCCTGGGCTGGCAACCTTACCAGTCATTTTGTCATGGGCAGGGTACAAGGTGGCACCTGACTGTCTGGAAAACTTTGGATGAGGTGAACTCCTTCAACAGAGCACCTGGGATGAGACAAACCAGCAGTACAAAGTTTCCCTCAGCAACAGCCCCCAGCAAGCAGTGAAGTTTACATGGTTCAGGCAATACAAAGCACTGCAGAATGTCTTGGCCTTTCCACCTTCCCAGAGCAGGAATGGAGTCTGAGAAATCCCCACTCAGAGCCCATCCTTGTCTGGGATGTGCCAGGATCACCCAGTGCCAGGGGCAGAGACTGAGAACCCTTTCCTGCCTGAACTGCACACTCACAGGGGTACTGCTGGGGCTGTGAACACCCTCACTAACACCTCACACAGCCCCAGCTCTTGGAAAGGCTTTCCGGGGGTATCCCTGGCACCGTGGCAGGAACCCTGTGGGGTGGGTAAGGATCTGACTGGGTAAATTCTGATTTCAAGGGGAGCTGCCTCCCCTAAGAGACTGCAACTCCCTAAGAGACAGCACTGACCTCGCACTGCCCACCCTGCTCCCAACACTCCCTGAACCTGYCCTGACCGTGATGCACTGACAGACCCCCTGAGGAAACACTAAAGAACATCTTGGTGTGTCTGGAAGTCACAGGAAAAACGTTTTGGAAGAAAGGGGCAGGTATTGAACAAGTATCTACTATCTGGCYACTACTTCTGCCAGAGTTCCTTAAAGCCGTTGCTCTCCATTCATTTTAAAACTACACACACACTTTCCATGTTATTGTAGCATCAAATTATCAGTCCTAAAAAGAAACAGCACCACTTCAAACTGTGGTACGTATAAATCACAAAAAACTACATTCACATTATGTTAAAAAAGTTCCCTTGCACCCACTAAAGGAAGAATATCGTGCCCAGGTATGTCCTGCAACCCATGTTCTGGTACACAGCACTTTAAAAGAATTTAACACATGGCTTGGAGCCATAGGCAGACCAGCAGAGCAGCCAGGGTGAGGGATGGCTTTTGGGTGATTCTCTTCATTTCCATTAATCAGAATCTGTTTCAAGGTGCCCTATACCTTTCATACCTTGGAGCACCTTTGTAGAGTCTGTGAATTTGTTACTCCCCATGTAGAGTAAACTGGAAAAACTGAGGCATTTGCTGGGTGCAGGATTTAAATCTAGAAACTTCTGCCTCAGTACTAAGTGAGGTCAGCCCTCCTTTTGCAGTTGAAGTGAAACTGTTAACAAGACAGATTTCGATATAATTTCATTTCTTTTGCTCATTACTGCAATATATTACAAAGAAACTGTTGGAACAAGGCCTTCTACTGACATGCTACTAAGGTCAGAGRCTGCTTCTGATTTAGACAACCCTGCAGGCAAATTCATTAACATCCAGCTGGTTACACAGAGCCCCTGACACAGAAACAGCTCAGGCAGGCACAGCCTGATCCCAGTGCTGCTCTGAATCACACCCAGTCCCACCAGTGCGACGCAAACGGGGATGAGCTGCAGGAACCACTCGTGTGGGGTGGATCTGGAACACAGGATGCACCGTGGGAAGCTGCTGGGGAAAGGTGGAAACTGTGCACGTCAAACAGTTGCTTTTTGTGTGCATTKGTATTGTGGGTAAACAGCCTGTAAAGTGGCATTTTTGAAGTACAAGTGTTTTCTTTAGTTACAGTGACATATAAAAGCACTGGCAACCAACAGACACAGCTTCTGCCCATCCTGGGATTCAGAGATGGACCTGTAATACCTTCTGCCCCTGAGCCAACCACCAAATATTGCTTCATTTTGCTTCCCAGTTTTCATCTAGGAGGAAATGCTTATGCCAGGCTACACTTCCCTGGGAACAGGAGCCTTAAAGCCATGGACACCACCAGCACACGCTGGTACCAGCCAAACGTGTGGGTGACAGGGGAGCCCATGCTCGTGCACTGAACAGCAGCAGGATGTAGACCTGACCAAAACCCCTCTAAACCAACAGGACAAACATCCTCTGACTTTGGTGGACTTTGGCTCAGGACTGTRAGGGAGTTGTATTTGAGCCCTAAGTGCTCTTTGTATTTTCTATTCCCAAGTTTTATCTTTACTCTTCAGGAGGTCTCCAAAAGCAAGGTGTGTCCCCAAGGGTGTGCACAGCAGAACAGAGCAGCTCCTCCTTTACAAAACTCAGTCTGAACTTGAAACTGCTGGAGACAGCACACAGACGCAGAGAAGGAATTAAACCACGGTGGATCAGGGTAGTGGGAAAGGGGTGCTGTAAAAATGCCATGCTAAAGTTGAATGCATCAGCTCTCTGCCTCTCCTCCAGCGATTTCAATGCTGTATTTGATCTGCAGCTAACATGGCCTTTGAAAATCAAATCATATTCTATTTGGTTCAGGGTTTACCCTCAACAATAGCTGGTGCAGGTCCTACAGGCTGAGTAATAACGGAGTGAGACATGAACCAGGCAAAAACGACTTCATTTCCATGCTTCCAGCCAAACAAAGAAGTGCTTGCAACAGCAAAAAAATAAGCCATATTTTAATTTGGTGAGTGGGAAGAGGAATTAGAGAAGTCATTGTTGTTCTATGACTCAAAAGTCACTAAGCAGAACCTGGTTAGACTGTCCCCRCACTGGAGGATTAAACTTACATGAGGCCCTAAAAAACAGCATTGAAAGAGTTCTGCTTTGAGAGTGGTCTGAGACTAAAACAACACCATCCATGATTCCCCTTTCCAGTTTTATGAACACAGCTTGTTCATTTAAAGTAAGGGCTGCAGAAYGGGCACCCTGCCAAAAGACAATGTGCACTGTCTCATAATTAATTCAGACCCAGAGTCAGAAATTTTCACAGCTCTGGAAGAGAGTCCCATCCTGTTCCCACTTAMATCAGTTCTAGTGACTTCACTGGAAGCAGGCTGATGCCCATTATCCCTTGATAAAAGCAAGTAAAAATAACTGAAATAATACAGCTCGAGTACGTCTGTATGCTTATTCTGGGTCAGTATTTCACATAGCAACAAACAAAACAAAATCACCCCCTCGTCACGTTCCCATTAATGACTGATCATTTGTGGGGTCTGAATTTTGTGCAGATTTAYGAGGGAGTATTTAAATTTTTCATCCTTTTGTTTTGTGTGGAGGACAGGGTTTTCATGTGCTGKTAACACACAATACTGGTGGTGGCTTGAGTGTAATGGTGTGAGCTGACAGGATAACATGTGAGTGCAGGTTTGAATCTATAGTTGGCTTYTAACTTGTTTTGGGACCTCTCTGGGAAACCAATCTGGGAGTTTTGTGCATGAATTCCCTATTATTTCTGTGATGAAGTTGTGAATGTGTATGTGACACCAGTGCAATGAATCAGAACCACTGTGCTGAGTACACGTCCCAGGCCATTGTCAATTTGCTTTAAYGTTTCTCATCCTCTGACTGGTTTTCTTCTTTTATTTTTGTTTTTATGGTGCTCTACTTTGTGGCAGTGGCTGCCAGCTGAAATGCTGTGACTGCCTGTGTCCTCAACTTGGTCACCATCATAATTTACAAACAAACAATGCAATTCCCATCCCACCTCCCACACAGAAGCAAACCTCTGTTTCCTTGTTTCTAAYGATGTATYTTTATATCATTAAGCTCAGGGGATKAATGGATTTTTAAAACTCCTACTTCTGCCATTTGTGTTAAAAGTGTGAGGATAAGAAACATTCTTTTGTATTTGGCCTTATGAGCGGGTAACTGCTTTTGTGCATTTTTTTTATCTCTGCATTAGAATGCTGACCCTTTTTTTATTTTTATGTATTTATTGTTTTTTTAAGAATCTCATCGGTCTTGTAAGAAACAGTAAAAAGACCCTATGCTTAAGGAAGCAACCTATCTTCTGTTTTACAGACTCGTTTTTAAATAAAATACTTTTTTGTTGTTTTTTTTCTTTTCGTAATTTTACTTCCACGATCTCTTATACGGAAACCCTAGAATATCATCAATATAAAAGTCTGCCTAGGCTACCACTTCTCTATAATATGGCTCATGTAGTCCTCAGTGGGCAAACGTCCTTGCTCTTCGGTCTCTTCCTTGGGAAGCGCTTCGTTGGACCGGTGAAGAAGCCTCTCCTCCCGGTTCTTTATCCTCTGCTCCATCCTCTCCAGCTGCCGCTTGTACTGGTAGCGCTGTTGGAAGAGGTCCTTTGCATAGTCATAGAGCTGCATGTCCAARTCATTGAGCTCCTCGATCCTGCGGATGGTGTCATTGTCCACCTCCACCCCGCCCGCCCGCGTGCTGTTGTACTGCATGAAGGGCCGGATGAATTTCAGGTTAAAAGTTCTCTCAAACAGGTACTGAGTCTTTCTCTGGAACTCTGTCAGGCCGAAGAAGGCCATGTCTTTGAGGTTTTTTTTGGCGCTCTCCAGCAGGATCTGCGCTCGCTTGTTCTCCGGGATGAAGGACATGTTGTAGCAGCCCACCAAGCTCAAGTCAGCCAACATCCTCACCTGGCGGTTGTTGGCCAGGTTATAGGGGCAATCCATGAACTCCTGCAGCGTGCAGCCCGACCAGTCCGTGCCCTCGTAGCACGACGGCAGCTCCTCGGGGGTCGGTGTCCTGCCGTCGCACATGTGCAGGGATGTTTTCCACGTGGCTCCTCGCTGCACRTGACGCCACTCGCTGAGGTACCGGGACACGGGGTCTCTCAGCAGTGTGATGTAGTAAAATTTTCTACAAGAAGAAGAGAAAACGGAATAAATATTCTGCTGGTGACAAGAAAAATGCTTGGCAAGCACGGACCTAGTGCAGACAGCAAAAAACTGCGAGTAAATCAACGTCACATCATCCGTACCCCTGCACTTGTGGATTATTTCTTTCTCGCAGTATCTCATGCAAAGCAGTCTGTGCAGCGTTAGACCCAYGTGTCTCTTTCTCACTGCCCACCACTGCAGCCTTGCCAAGGGGCAGCACCTTCACCAGGGTGTCCAGTCCCAGCCAGAGACCCCAAAGGCAGAGCCAACCACCAGGACTGGACCCATTTATTGACTCCAGAGCGTGACTGTGGCTCCTGGCACTGCTGGACCTTCTGCACCAAGTGTTGTGTGCCCGCTGTGCCAGCCAGGACCTGCTGCCAAGGCCAGCCCAGCACCCTGCCTGTCCATCAGCTGCTCTGTGGCTCCCATTCCATGCAATTGCTGAGCAGGGCACCCACTGCAAGATTGATGTGGCTGCTGAGATCTGCGAGTCTGTGCTGAGTAGCAGGATAACGCCACAGGGAGGCAAGTGAAAAGCAGTGGGAATCGGGAATGCAATATGCTYTGCACCAAGGGAAGGCTGAGCTGCCAACCAGCAATGGCAGCAATAATTTATTCCCATTTCAGTCAACCTGATATTCAATCAAACAAACTTCAGGCACACTTTTGACAYGAGACTAAATAGAAGGGGAAAGGAACACAGTTGGGAAGGACATACACAATGACATGGGGCATTCTTGCTGCTCCAAGTATAATGAAGTCCCCAACAATACAAGCTGTCCCTAAAACTGAAAACATGACAGCCGTCTCTAACAGAGCCCCTCCAGCTTCAGCCCACAAAGTTCTGGGATTGACAGGGATGGCAGACTGCAACAGCCCTCTCCACGCAGAGGGAAATGGGCCTTTCCTTCCCTCACTGCCAGTGGCGTGGGACTGAGGTGCCTTTGTGTTTCTGGAAGGAGGAAATCCCTTCTCCAGTTGCTGAAGCTGGCACCTGCTCCCAGTCCTGGGGCTGTGTGACACTGTGCATACCTGGGGTAGGTGACACACTCTGCAGCTGGAAATGGTTCTACAGGGGGGGTGGAGGATTCATCTCCCCTGCAGAAATGCATCCTCAGAATGCTGCTAGGRCTCACTGCCTTGCCAGCATGGTTCAGAAACACTGAATGTAATGGCCACTGAGATGGCACTGAATGGTTTTTTGAGGAAAAAARTAGTAAAAGTACTCTGTTTTGGCTAATTTTAACACACCCGTGTTTTCCTAGTACCGTCAGTATTATTCTTCCTAGTAGTAACTTAAATTTTTGCAGTRAGAGCAATTTAATTGTCAAAAAATACATCAAAGCCATTGCCCAGGAAGTCTCATATTAAGGAATGTTTGCTTTCCTRATTCATTACAAACTTGTTGAAGGGTTTTTCCAGAGCAGTCAGTTTTGGTCTTTCYAGCAATGGCATCGGGTGTCCACTCCAGCTCCAATTCCTCTCCTGCTTTCTGCCTTYGTAACTAGGGCTGGGAAAGACATTTGTTATTTTTGGAAACTATTCCATCTCTCTTCAACAGCAAGAGTATCTYGCTCTCTAGCAATGCTGCCCAGTGCTGTCTGTGCACAGGGAGAGGGGAGGAAGCAGGGGAGCAGAGAACATAAGAGAAACCCTTTCCTCAGTTTACCCCTTTTTCCTTCCTTACCTTTAGCCTATGGTGATTCCACTACGCTGACAGAGACAGCCACAATTCATACAGACTGAGCTCAGAAACCTCTGAGAGATGGGATAAAATACGACAGAGCAAGAAAAGGAAAGCAGGGATGAATGCCAGATGTTCCATGACAGACATTGAYATTAAACACTATCAGCAGTTTCTGACTTGTGAACTGCAGTGGACTTTTGATTTATACCAATATAATCCAAAGGTTGCATTTCTCACTGAGAAGGGTTAAACCAGTTATTATTTTGTGGCTGGAGAACCCAAGATCAGGGACTCATTTGTGTGTGAGATATCCATAGACACAGGAGGAGCTGATCCCTGCCCAAAAATGCCATCTACACAAGCATGGATAGGGGAAAATGGAAGAATTAGTACCTGCATTTGGTAGAACCACAAATATTAAATGTGATAAAGCCTTTTTAAATGGAAGTTGCAGAGCTGGCACAAATCTGATTCCTGTAAGCCCAAGTCCAGCTTATCTCCTCTCTCTGTCTCGGTTTCAACTTCAGGAGATGATTAGTAAATCAGATTAATAAATATCATGCAAAGCTTCTGGAGTCCCTTAAACAGAGACAGTTTGAACAGGACATGGGTTGGAAAAAGCTCAAGGAGTGAGTGCTGCTTTCTTCACTGTAAGAGATATTCCCTCAGCTGAGGTAATACCCTGGTAAATATTTTACCATGAGAGATCTTTCAGAAAGATTCATCTCAATGAATAGAAAGCACAGGAAAATAGGTTACRATTTTTGAAATTCTACTGAATCTGATGTGCCCCTTTCCAAGTCTGTCACACAGAAGAGTGCTTGAAGGAAAGAGCTCATCTGCTAACACAGAAATCAGATTTATCTCTGGAAACTGGRACCAGGCCCCTGGAAGAACTTAGGGAAGCTGTCCCAATGGGCATAAATAAAAGCAAAGAAAACCCTAACAAATTAAACCAAACAAACTTTAAAGCAAAAGCATAGTTTTAACTGCCTAAGCTGAGATGCGCCATTGACATAGTGGAAGTYATGCTCCCAAATCTGTATTTAGCTTTCTGGAAAGATACCAGTTGCCAAGGTGCAGATTCCCTCAGCAGCACACCTTGCAGGAGACTGGGACTCAGGAGCCAGAGAGGGGAGCCTCTTGGGTGTTAGATGGGTGACAGTGCAAGTGTTCACCCAAGGCACTGAAGACACTGAAGTATAACTTGGGGATTGTGTTTAAGTTGAGAGAAAAGTGAGGTAACCTTAAAGCTCCGTCCATTAGCAGTGTCATTATCAACACCACGAACCACAAAGTGGGGGGAATTCAGTCCAGCGTGGCTGAGAACATGGCAGTGCCACTTGCCAACAAAGGCTTGACATTTATGAGGAACCACAGGACTCGTGAGGGGTTTTTTTGACATCAGAGATAAAATAAACCCCAAAATCCCCCGCAGCTGTGAGCACCCTTCCTTTGAGCATGGTTCCCAGACAGCCACTTCACTTCAGTGTTCCTAAAGACTCATTTCAGGACCCTTCTCCTGCCYAGTGCTCTTCTCCTAGCCCAGATGGGTCCACTCAGTGCCATCCCATAAAAACCCCACACAGCCCCACTTTGGCCATGCAATCCAGGTCTCATTGACCCTTCTGGATTTAACAAGCAYGAGCAACACAAATGGACATGGAGCCAGTAAGGTTTTTCTTCCCACACSAAGTTGAGCATCACTGCTCTTGCAGGCTCCCCCTCTGCAGACCCAAGGGCACAAAGATGAGCAGAAGACAAAGTCACACCTCTGCCTTTTCTTGCACTGCTGTTCTGGCAGTCCTAACATGAACACCCACCTGAGGCTGAGGCATTTGCAGAATTGCAACTTGGACCTGCATGCCTAAGGACAGAATTATATTAAACATGAAAGGAATGAGAAGGTAGTGTCTTTACAAACAGACTCTGACTCTGGGGTGAAATAAGGCTGATATTGGGAGATAGAAAGAAACAATAGGAAGGATTTGCATAGGAATTCTACTGATTGGCTTACCCCAGTCTATGTTAATAGACTACCTGAGCAGAGACTCAGAGATGTATATTGAAAGGGGGCAATGTATGATAGAAGGGGGGTTTCATCAGGTGTTTTGGGGAGCCTGTACCTCTCAAGTACCTCAGCAATGGGGAAAGAGAGAGGGAACTGCGGCCGGGAAATTGGGATAAAAAGAGGCTGCATCCTCTATGAATTTGAGAGACCCCATGGGAAATGCCCATGACCTCTCCCTTTATCCATGAATAAAGTTGCGGGACTTCTCTGTCTCCTTTTTGGACATAAACCCCTGGTGCTTGTAGATTAATTTTCCTAACAAACAGAACAGAATAAAAGAATGTTTTTTTTTTATAAAAAAATCCTGTGTCCGACCTGAAGTTTCAGGAAGAAGAAAATCCAGCGTCAGAAAGGAAGGGCAGTCTTGTGGTCATAACACACAAATGAATTCAGGAAACTTCACTTTAAGTGCCCGTTCTGTCAAAATTAGCCTGCTTGCCCCAGACAAATCTCTGCCTCTCTCTGCCCCTATTTCCCATGTGTGAAGGGCTGACAAAGTCTCCTTTGTCTGTTTTGGAAATTCAAAACATAACATCTTTTGGAGCAGGAGCCGTCTCCTTCCACGATTATGCAAAGCCCCTGTTTCAGCATGGATTGAGGTCAGAGGACAATAGTTAACTGCGGGCASATTTTCATGACACAGGCGGCAGAGGCACCACTGCCCTCCAGGATTCCCACCCGACCTCTCCTTCCCATTCTCACACAGCAGCACAAAGCAGCCTCAGTTTTGCCAGCAGAGTTTTGTTTTTTTTTTTTTTTTTTTTTTGAGCAGGGCCACGCTGCAAATGCAGACACTGAGCAGCTCTGGGTTAAAAATAACCCTTTCTTGCATGGCTGAAGCTGCCATTTAGCAATATTCTGTCTGAATTCCTGTCAGCAGGTTCCTCAGCTAATGAAGGGGAAATGAAACCCTTCTTCCTCTAAAAACTCAATTCCTTCTCTTTTGCTAATAACTAGCCAACATAATTCTGATAAAGTGACAGATTCTAAATAKGATGCTATCATTTCTCTTCAGTTCATTTCGACTCTTTTCTACACCCTTCTTACTGCTGCTGGTCTCTAAATTCTGCCAAGAATTGCTTATTTGACTGTGCAATTATCTATTCTTTCCTGTGCTTAAATGCTTCCACATGGCCAATTTTTTTTTTTATATTTTAAAAATCTTTACAGGTTTTTTACTGAGCTTTCAAGCATCCCTCCCAGGAAAAGCAAAATACAT